TGCACAGAAACCCTCTGTCTCTTCCTTGTTCTGCCCAGCCCCCGAGAGCGGTGGAGTTCGTTCTTTCAAACCAAGGTTCCTATGGAACGCCAATGTGTATTTTAAAAAAGATGAAAGTTGCATCTTAAACATAAATACACTTTATAAGTTCAAACTCTCAACATTTTCTTAGCATAAGTCCATCAAGGAGAACAGCAGTGAACACAAGTCGGGATGGGACCTGCAATCATGTCACCTTGGTGTCTCATTTTTTTCAGTGTTTGATCGTGGTAACACAGGACCCCTGACTCTCAGAGATAAGTGGTTACAAATGGTGGCAGTGTGTCTGAAGACCACCTTGTAGTCTTTCAATTTCAGTTGTTTTTTTTTTTTTTCCAGTAGTTAACAATACGAAGAAAAGAAAGAGGGAGGGAAAGAGAAAGGAAAGGAAAGGAGCTAGGAAAGGGAAGAGAAAGGAAGGGAATGGGGGATGGGTCGTGAAGGGAGGGGAAGGAGAAGGAACTCATGTGGGGCTTCTGAGGGTGCCCTCCCTCAGGTTCTTGGTGTAGGCAGCCTCTGCCTCTCCCAGGAAGCCCGCCCTGACTGCTTCACCTCTATGTATCGTGGAGGTTCCCAGTGTTTCCTCTCACACAGAGGAGTGTCCCAGCAAGCGAGTCTGGGCCACGTGCTCCTGGAAAGCCTCAAGAGTCTATGACCCCTCCTGGCTCTGGTGTAGACCTTCCAGGTACTCAGTCCTTGGTTCTGGGGCAGGGAAGAAGTTCCCAAGCAGGGGACAGGGACTAGGGGCTTCCCTGGGCCCTATGGTGGTACCTCCAGGGGTGGGAGGACTGGGGAACCCGGGGCCCCTGAAAGCCTGGGCCTTCTGTAGTTCTAAGTACCTTCATTTCTGGGAACTTGTGCTTTGGAAAGAGAGAAATGAGAAGCAAAACCCTAGGGCCCCAGCACCATCACTGCCCGCCCTCCCCCACCCCCCTTCCTGTCTTCCTTCCGCTGAGTCACAACCAAGAGCTCAGCACCTCAGCCTCCTCTTGGGGCCACCACGGTGGGGTGGAGTTCAGGGTCGTGTGAGGACACAGCATCTGGAACAAGTCCTCTTCCTGTCAACATCCTCTGTGAGGGGTCATGGGTTGCTTTGAGCTGAAGCTACTTCCCAAGCTTAGGAAAAGGGTGACTGAGGTCCTCTGTCCTATCTCCCCTCCTATCCCCAGGCCCATTGCTCACCCACAAGCATTGAGCACCAACTATGAGCCAGGCCCAGGGAGCTGGGGTGGTTCAAGTGGGGCCCTGTCCTTGAACTCATGGACTTGGACATGGACTCATGCTGACAGGCCCCTAATGAGTGGCTGGGTCCTTAGGGTTGGTCCTTAGCAATGGGAAGTGTCCCCCTCACTCTCATCCACTGTTCACCCACCTACTAAACATAAAATTGACCCCTAGAGCCCTAGGCTGAGTGTGGTTTCCTTTGAGGCTGAGACCGTGAGAGCCAGGCCCAGGCCAGCCCAGCCCTTCAGACTTTGCCAGTCACTGGGGTGGGCCCTGGAGCCAGGAGAGGAAATAGCATCTCTGCCATCATCACCATGACCTGCCCCCCAACCCTCCAGCAAGGCCCTGTGCACCCCCCAAGGTCAGAGGCCCGCGACACTGCACTCTAGCAAGATTGACCCCTCAGGGTTTACCATTCCAGGTTTTGTTTGTTCCTCCACATCCTGAGCACCCCTTAACTATGTGCTGGGCCTGTGCCTGTGTTTGGTGGGGTCAAGAATGGGGCAGGACACAGTGGAGAGCCCTCAGGTTTGTTGGGTGATGCTTCCTCACTAAATGGCCCCAGATGGAGTTCTCTGCTCCTTTAGAGATCTTCCTCACTTGGTCTCAGGAGCGGGCAGAGAGGCTGCCTTTGCCTTGTGAGGCTCTGAGCTCATCGCTACCCAGCTGTCCCCTCACTCTTCTACCCCCGACTGTTCAGGGCTGCAGCTGTGGCTTTGCCATGTCTCAGGCAATGGTCTCAGCTGATCCACCCTTTGGAACAGCCAACTGGTATGCAGCCCCTTGTAGAGGGGTCAGCTCAAGGTGGGGGGTGGGCATCAGGACCTTGCCTGCTCACTTGGCTCGGGGCCCTGGAGAAGGTTTGGTGGATTTTGGGGGACTGGAGGGTAAAACTCACAGCCAGGAGGCAGGTGGCTTGCAGTTGCCCATGCCTCGTTTCCTCCTAGCCTAGCTGCACAGGCCTCTGCCCCTAATGAAAAGCTAGCTCTGCTGCTTATCTTCCTCCGGTATTCTACACTGTTTGTTGTTATTGATTAAACAGGGAGATGGCCTCAGTGATTCTCACTGGTGCCTGGGAAAGCTGTTAATTTATGTGGTTGATCTTATAACTGGCCACTTTCTTGGTTTCTCTTAGATCTGTTATTCGTTGCTTCTTGTAGAATTTCTATATTGACATTTTACCACTGAAAATAATGACAAATTTGTCTTTTCCCTTCTAATATAAATAGTTCTTATTTATTTTCTTTGCTTATAGCTTGGCTAAGACCTTCAATATAATATTGAAAAATAGTGATGGCTGGAGCACTCGTATCTTGTTTCTCATGTATGTAGGGACACGTCTCGTGCCTCCCTATCTGGTGCATATGCTGCTGATTTTAGATAGATAGACTTTCTTTAGTTAAAGATGGCTCAGTCTAGCCTTGACTGACTCAGAGTTTCCTTTGTTTATTTTAGATGCTTATTTATTTGCATCATTCATGCAACAAACTTTTGGTGAGTATTTGCTGATTTCCAGGCCTGCCCTTGGGTACTGCAGTATGAAGAAAAAGTTGGAACAGACACGCCCATAAAAAGCTCATGGCCTAGTGGAGGATAGAGGCAAGTAAACAGGCCCTTATCCCTGGGCCATGTGGCTTGCATTCGATCACTGCCTGCTTGGTATTGTGCCAGGCACTGGGGATGGTCAGTATTCAGATAAGGCCCTGCTCACACAGAGCCCACAGTCTGGTGGGGTCCAAGCAGCTCACATCTTCTTGCACTCAAGTTCCCACACAGCAGTTCCAATGCTCAGCCTGAGACTTTCTCTGCTGCAGATGCTAGCTTGGGAAGTGACCAAAAGTGCCAGGGAGATCACCCTCAAGCGTCCCTAAGTCAGTGAAGGGTGGGAGTTGGTGGATATACATCCCAGCTTCCTCACCTCTTGGGTGGGACAATCCTTAGCTGTGTTCTATACCATCTCTCAACTGAGGACTGAGCCTCAGTTGCCCACAGAAGGAGCCCACTCATTAACACACCTACTTTGGCTTCCTTTCCCTCCCTGTCTCACTTTCCCACTCCTCTATGTCAGGAACAGGGGAGGCTCTGAGATTTGCAAGCTAACAAGTGAGCCTACTGTATTTCCAAGGATGCTGGCAGAAGACACAAGACTCCTGGTTCAGAAACCAAGATCAGTTTATTACTCACAGTAACAGCAGTAGACAGTGGATTAGCACTTTCTTGCACTACTCTCCTGTTCCCACAGGATAACCCAATTAGAGTCAGATGATGCTTGCACATGCAGAGGGTTGCATTACAGGAGAGGAACCCTGAGCTAAAGGAACCCAAATATTTTATAATAGGCTACAAGCAAACCTGCCCAGCCTTTGCCCCAGAGGGAGCTGTTATCTTTAATATACTCGACAATAAGCAAACCTGCCTTCTTCCGTGGAGTGAGACACACGGTCTATCTTCTAAGGCTGTTCACTATAATGATCACCTTGAAAGGATCATCTGCAACAAGGGCAGTCGGTGCCTTTATTGGCAAGTGAACAGAAATGAGAGAGAACCATGGAGAATTGTCTCCCAAGGTCCTACTGGTGCTTTTCAGCATCACCTCCCAAATAAGCTATTATATTTGTATTTGGATCCGTGTCCCAGAGCCTGCTTCTGGGGGAAATGCCACAATATGTGGAAATGATGCTAAATGGGCATTAATGAAATTCTGATGTGACTCTCCTTTCTCCAGACCTGTCCTGCAAATAATGCAGGGCAGCTATGTGAAGGAAGGAAGGTTCCCTCACCCAGAACCGATACTGTTGTGACTCCTAGGGGGAGGCTGTAAAGGATTCATAGTGTTTCTTTTTTCATGTTTTAATAGTCTATCTAGGATTTATGGTGGTTGCCTCTGTGAGGTAGACACTGGACTTTCTTTTTTGTTCCCAAATTGTTCCAATACCATTTATTAGAAATTATACCTGGTCTGTCACCACTCTCTTCTAATCTGCCTGGGGCCTGTTATTTAGAATGTATCACAAATACATAAACAATCAATTCACAATAAATGCGCTAAACGACACATGGGCATCATCATCACTGGGGATTTGACACTCCGCGTTGGTACAATGTGAAACAAACCTGAACACCCACTCGTGATGACACCATTCAGGCCCCAGGGACATGCAGAGAGGTCGTGAATCTGCCTCAAAGTTCCCAGAGGATTTGAACGCGAATTGAGGTTTATTTTTATAAAAATACTTAACAGTTAATAACAATTTCAAAAAGTTAAATAAAATTTTAGTTTTAAATCTTTTTAATTAAATTTTGACATTAGCTCATTATAACTTACCGTTTGCATTTTGCCCTTTAATTTTGTTAATTTTTATTATTATAAAAATAACTTCTTGAAATATGTTTTAATACTTTAAATATTTTTATATTTTAAATTAAATCAAATTCATTTTTTGTGCTGTTTGAATATAATATTTTGTTTTAATCTTTTAAATCATTATTGCCAATAGAATAGTAATTATGTGATCATCTTGATTATAACAACATAATCAATAGTTTTACTGGAATAAAAGTAAGAACAGTAAATGTTACAGAATAAATATATAATACCTTATGAATTAGACATGTCTTGATTTTCTTACCTAATGTCATTGAACACCTGGGCATGAGCAGTGATTATTAAATTCAGTCATCTTTGGTATTTGACGTCCTGATATATTTTTATATGACTTTCAGACATATAAACATCACAGATTTACAGATTTTTTTTATTGTTATGAAAGTTTATTTGTTGAGTAGGAGGCTAGAACATATTTTATTAGCAGTTTGTAGCTTGATTTATGATTTTTAAATATTTAGATTCCGTGATATGGGCTTCCATTTGTTCTTTTGCCTGGAGCACTGCAAACATCAGGGCCTGTGCTCCGGTGGGAAAAGCAGATGTATCCGCAGGTACTTCTTGTTTTAATAGGAGCCGGAGAAAAAGTGCTGCTGGGGCTCACGTCTCCATGGACTCATGGTCAAGAGGATGCTGGAGGGGCGGGTTGGGAGGAGAATCCAAGGAGAAAGAGAAATCACCAAATCTACACATTTACTCCTTGCCACGATTCCATAAAGTGAGTGATAACATCATCCCCACGTTACAAAGTGGGGCTCAGAGAGGATTCGTCACTGGCTCAAGTCACACAGGTTGCCTGGCTCCGGAACCATAGCAGGGCACCAGTGTCCCCTGCAAACCTGGTAGATGCCACCCAGCTTTGCCCACTCAGGTTGGGTGGTTTCCAGGTCCAGTTCTCCCATGGCACAGCAGGCTCCTGACCTGGTGCAGGTGCCAGGGCCTCCCACCCACTGCCAGCTGCTTCAGGTGGCCCCAGTGAAACCAATGCTCCAAAGCTCAAGTGCACTAATGAACTATGTCCCTAGGGTGCCCCACCATCCTCCTGCAAGGGTCAAAGGACCTCTCTGTCACAGCCCCACCTCACAGCTAGCTCCCACCTGGGCAGTGTCTCAGCCCTTCTCCTGGAGGGCCCCTGTAGGATGGGCTGGGGGCTCCCTTCCTGTGACATGTTGGGGATGGGTGAGCAGCAGGCTTGGAGCTGTGCTCAGTGAAACCAAGGAGTGACCTGAGAGTAGGAGAGAGAGGCAAGTCCCTGCCCACATCTCTGTCCAGCCTTGGCTAGAAAGGTTCTCCATTCTTCTGAAGGTAAACTGGTCTTGAGTGGTTAAGCGGCTGCCGCAAGGCCACTCACCCCAAAAGAGAGGCCCTTCCTTCCCCTCTGTGCTGATCCTGACCTGTCTCAGTCCCTTCAGCTGGGCTTCAGGGCCCCTGCTCTGACGGTGCCAACTCTGGGACCCTGTGATGTAATACTCATGGCCAGTCCCTCAAAGTGTGGTTGGGCCCCAACCCAGTCCCAGACCTGGGTCACACCCCTCACAGCCTTCCTGGGGGCCCTGCAGCTTCTCTCCATTCTCCAGGTAGAAAAACTGAGGCCCCAACAGGCCAAAGGCATGCTCACGGCTGCACAGCTGGGCACCAGTGCCGGGACTACTCTAGGTGGCCTGACACTGAAGCTGGGGCCTGTGACCCAGCTGTGGGTCAGGAATCTGAGGAAAGGCCCTGCTTTTCCTACTGGCCTGAAGGAGTGACAGGAGTCCTGCCAGAGGCTGCCTGTCCACCAGCAAGGGGGACTCAGTGAGCGGGGCCTGGCACTGCTGAACCACCTTGCCCTGCCTCCTGCTCTCCCTTAGCTTAGCCCTTTCTACCCCTGGTGCTCACTGGCCTGGGCAATATACTCAAGCTTAACATCCCACTTTCACCCATGCATCCATATCTTCACAGTACCCCTCCCCGCAGTCACACATGCTCCCCCGCCCGCCCCCCTATCCCCCGTTTCTGGCTGTCCACTCTGTGCCTACCCCTGGGCTGGACACTGGGTACTGCAGAGGCCATGCCAGACCTGGACCTTTGTTGGCAGAGCCCTTAGAAGGGCCCAGCAGACTAACTGCCAAGGTGAGGGAATCTAAGAAGGCACTTGCAGTCAAGGAGGGCTTCCTGGAGGCAAGGATTCAAGCTAAGCCTAGGCATCCCCTCCCCCTTGCTTAGGTCACTGCACGTCCTCTGAGCCTCTCTCCCCGGAGTGGCCAGCAAGTTCCAGGAAGTGTCTCCTCTCCCTGCAGTGCTGGTTCCAAGAACTTCAGCTCCTGGCAGCATTTGCTCAGGATTCTTTCCTAGAACATAGGCCTTGCCCGCCTGGGCTACTAGGGTCTCATTGGGCAGCTGGTGGAGGTAGTAGAGGAGAGGGTCTCCTGGGAGGGCCTCTTTAGGGACCAGACGCTGGGAGGTGGGCCCAGGCTGTCAGCTGGACGCGAGTGGCCACGCTGGGGTGGGGGACAGGAGGTCAGTGTGTGTGAAGGCGCTTTGACTCCCGGTCAGCCATGGGGTCAGGCCAGAGTTCAGCTCAGCTTCCCTGCACACGCAGAAGGCTCACTCCTTGGGCCCAGAACTTCTGCCAGTTTGCTGCACTCCATCCTCCATTACACCCCCCCTCCCCCGCATTAGCCTGACACCCCAGGGTCCCATCCCATCGGCTACAGCACAGGCCTTACTCTGGCCTCAGAGCAGGCCTTCATCAGATAACCTTCAGAGGGACAGGCCAGGGGACAGGGGTGGCAGGTTCTGAGCAGGGGAGGGAGAATGGGACAGTCTGTCTTGGGGCCCTTGGAAGGATATGACATGTGCATTATTAATCCTGTATTAATTTTACATTGCCTGGTGAGGACAGAGGAAGTTGGGTAAGGTTGGTGGGGGTCGGAGGTGACAAGCCCTGATTTATGAACAAGGACAGGGCCCAGTTTCCCTCAAGGTCACTGGGCCCCCACTCTGGGGCATGTCCTCCTCCCACACCACCTCTGAGCTGGCACCAGGCCTGCCCACCCGTCTGGGACCTGCCAGATCACATTGAGCAACCAGTTCCTGAGAAGCGTTGAAGGCTGTTTGGTTTAAAATTAACTCCCCCGCTTCCCCCGCCCCTGCCTCCTCAGAGTTCTTGGAAGAGGCGCTCTGCTCTTTCTTCCTGGGAAGAGGCCTTCAGCCACAGCTGCCGCGTTTCTAGTGAAAACACCTCACCCAGCGTGGGGGTGGGGTGCCCACACCACGCCTCCTCTGCAAGGCCCAGGGATCTCCTGGAGCCTAGCATGCCCCAGTTTACCCACTGAGACCCAAAGGAGAAAGGGGGTGATCGTCAAGGTGATGAGAGGGGGTGATACTGCCCCCAAAGCCCACAGCCCCCAATCAGGCACCCGCTGGCTCTGAGTGAAGAGGTCAAGGGCTATAGAGACCAGCCTGAGCACCTCCAGGTTAGGGAGAGAGGGAGCTGATGGTACTGACAGCAAGGCTGGGAACTTCGGTCTACTTTGAGACATATATGGCTCAGGGAGATAAAGCGACCTGCCTAGGTCACCCACCGTTGGTTGCCTAAGCTCAGCCTGCCTGTTAGATGCGAGGTTGACCACACTGACCTGGCAAGGGTGCCCAGGGCTAGCCCCCGCAGGCACTCAGGAAGGGTTAAGCGTGCTCTTTGCTTGGAGGCCCCCCTTGTCTCTTACGCATACTCCTCTGACTGCTCCAGTAACCCCCCACTTTCTGGATAAGCCTTCGCTTTCCAGTGTCTCCTTGGGCTTTGCCTCTCTGGGGCTTTGGAGAAAAGGCTGCCTGAGAACCTGCTCTCCTAACAGCTCCTCCTACCATGGCCACACACCCGAAGGAGCTGAGAAAAACAAAGGAAAGTTTGCCAAGTGCAAAGGTCAACACACACACACACACACACACAGAGTGATGCCGCTCCTCCGAAATGGGGCTAGTGTGGGTGGGAGCAGTGAAATGCTTCTTGGGAGGAGGCTGAGGGCCAGATAGGCACTTTTAAGAACAAAGCTTTAGCCCAACCCAGATTTTGAGTGCAATCCTCATCTCTGATGCAGCTCTGCTGACAGGAAAGGCCCCGTGTGGCTCATCTGTGCGGGGTATGGGGAAAGTCCCTGGAACACAGCTTTGCCTGGGGAGCATTTGTTGGGTACCACTCCCCCTCCAGCCATACCATTTACCACACTACTGGGGGCTGTGTGGTAAAACAGTCCTAGAGGACTGCCTGGAGGAGTCGTTGCAGTCCCAAATTCCCTCAGCCCTCAGAGGCTACCTCTTGTGCTCAACCAGGCCTGGGTCATGGAAGATATAGTCTTTCTATTAGCATAAAGCTTTCTCCACACCAAAAGCCTCCTTCTGCGCTGAGCCCTCCATGTCTCCTCTTACTCATAGATGAGCAACAGCTTGCATTCATTCTGTATCCCCCACAGCCAGAGCCACCACTTTCCAAACACCTCGTGGCATGGGCTCTACTACTATCTCTGTTAGACAGATGGGGAAACTGAGGCTCCAAGAGGTTAAACTATTTGCCTGAAGTCCCAGAGCAATTCTGGAGGGGCTGAGCTTTGAACCCTGCCTATGTTCTTCCCATTTAGATGATTTGCCTCTTCAAAGACATCCTCAGAGAACTTTCATGGGAAGCATGGTGTGTGCGCGTGCGTGTGTGTGTGTGTGTGTGTGT